GACTCAGCTTAGATGGGAGAATTTGTTTACCGGACTATTTTTTATGGGAAAAATAATCAATAAAGGCTTCATATGTGGAATGTTTTTGAAAGCTTAACTAGAAGAAAGCAATCGTTGAAATGAATTCTAAATGAGGACTTTTTTACGTTTGCCCTAAGCCAAAATGCAGACACACCAAACATGTGGAAGGTGTTTCATCCACATTAAACCAAAATCAAACTTGGCCACCTTGCAGCAGAATTATAGCGATGGTGGAGCAAGACAATGTTCCCATAGTGTAAGACGAAATGACTTGTTCCACCAAAATAAGTTCGAATTAAACTTTTTTGGTTTTAAAGTGAAGGTTATTGTTCTGCTGAAAGGTGGCCAAGTTCGATTTTGGTGCTGATTTGTTTTGATTGAAGAATCCCAGTCAGAGTCCTGATTTCATGTTCATAGACACATTTATTATGGCAATTTCAATTTCACAATTATTCCCTACTTTGTATTATTCTGACACAACAAAATAAACAAAACTTTCATACTGAAATGTAAGAACATGTGAAACAGTTTAAGGGTGAGAATACTTTTGCACAGTACTGCATTTAAACCACATAAGTCATTTAAAAAAACAACTCATTTAGCTTATTTTTTAAATTCTTTCCAATAATTCCTTAAATTCTATCTCTTTTTTGAAAACAGTTTCACAAAGCTGGAGGCCTTGAACCACTCGTCAATCTGCTGTATTCCAAAGACAAAGAGCTGCTGAAACACGCGTGCTTGGCCGTGAATGTTTGCGCTCGGGATACATCTTGTGCTGTGAAGATGTGCAAACTTGGGTAAAACACAGATATAAAATATAGTAATAAAATTTCACTATAATTCTGAATATTTATGACATGAAATTCAGAAAAGGTAAAGCATTGTTACAACATGTTAAATCTGGGCACAATGTCATTAATGTAGTTTTTCAACCAGCCAGCAGATGGTAGCATGGTACAATATATTGAGCCTATTGATTTGGGAAGCGATTGTTTGTATGTGTATTGAATATGTTTTTTCTCACGATTATGTCTGTCTCAGGGCCCTGGAAATACTTCAGGAAATCAACCAGTCAGCAAACCGTAGGAGCAGTTTCAGCAAGTTGGCCATTACCAGCCTGCTTAACTCCAACTTGCCTGTTAAATACAACCGGACGGGACGTTTGACTCCAAATGACATTATTACAAGCGGCTTTTATGATGCTGGGCAGGTTTGTTTACTAAAATGTGAAGGTCTTGAGTGACAATAAAGAACAATGTAAACAGGGAACAAGACAAATTGTCTTGTTAATGCCAACAGCTGCTTGTGGCCAAAATGCCAATAAACTTCCTAAAACAAATAAGTTTTTATGTAATGAGATCAACTGTCACCAAGTTGGACAACAACCAAAATATTAGTCAGAGATTATTTGTTATTTTTTTGTTTTTGTTTTTGCTTTATTTAACAAAGAACAAAGTATTATTTTATTACCGTTTGATGTATTTCTCTCTGTTTCATACAGGCTTTTCTGGATCAGCCATTTCTGACTTTGGAGGAGTTGCTCAACCAGCCACTCAACCAGAAGCGGGAAATTGTTGCTTTCAACATCCCAATGGAGTATGAATATTGAAAAATGCTATAATTTTGCCACTTAATAGATTCTAGTTTTGCATTGTAAAATCTTGTCAAAACAGAGATGTGCAAAGATGCTTGGATCAAAGATTGTGTTTTGGTAAATGTATGGAGCTGAACCCAATCAGACTACTTTGTAGAATAATCCTCTGAAAGTTCATAACAAAAATTAACAAGTTTAAGAATTAACTTGGAATTAGCTACAAAACTATTCATATCTTATTGTTTCTGAGGTTTGTATCTCGGTCTGCCACCCTCCCCCTGGCTGCACCAATCCGATGCTCTACTTTCCCTAGGTTTTTGCTTCTCTTTTCTTCTCTTGTCTTGCCTTTAGTGTGCCCCATCATTGTGGGCTCAGTGGGTAAATGATCCCCTTTTAAGATGCCAAACACTCAGAGCTGTTATGTGTAGACCAAGGAACAAACACACATCATTATGAACACACACTGAAGGTGTATCGTATTCATCTAACCTATAAACATTCAGTATGGGATGCCAGGATTCACACTTTGTGTGTTCAGAGAAACATAATTGCTAATATTCTACCTCATTTACTAAACACTCTTAAGTATATGAACCCAGTAACAAATTGTGCAATAGAAAACTGCACACGGCACCTCAGATTCACTCCTTCTGTTTCCAAGAATGCAAAAGAAAAAACAAAACAAAACACCACATTCATTCCTAAGCAGCCTGTTGTGTAATCTAAGCTTCGGTTTGTCCAACTCAAGTAAAACTCAGCATACATCCCAGTGCAGCTTGGTTGGATTTTTGGCTTCTGCTTCATTCTCGTTAGAAATGCAGTGCACGGTTAAATCAAACATTCTGTGTTCTCAAAAGCTTTTTGGATCGGTTTCTTTGAAACAGTCACAAACACCCAACACATATAGGGGCCTCTCTGTTAACCATCAAGCTTATGCATTGAAAAAAAGGTGGAAAACACCATTGAATAATAGGAACATAATCACTTGTCACTATAATACTCACCTTACAGGTATAAGATATTAGGAATGTGATTGTTTTTTAATTCAGTTGCATTTTATTTATTTATCTATTTAATTTTACTTTTAGGCATATTTTATCTAAAGAAAAGAACGAGTTTGAGGAATACAAATTGCAAAATAGAGCAACAGTTTTACATACATAAACCTTTTGTGTGCCACAGAGAGACAGTAGATCTAGCAGATGACAGAAAAGCCAGCCCAACAGAATCAGAAATCGCCATCAAGAAAGGACGAATGACACCAAAGTAGGTATTAGGACACACAAAATCAAAATAATTTTTTTTTTTGCTCTAAAGTCTTAACTTCAACTAATTTTAGTATCAGATTTGCAGCAGGAGCATTCTTCTCTATTACAATTGGATTTCACCATCTCTCTGTGCAGAAGGAAAAAAGAGAAAGACAAACACGATGAAGAGCACCACGATGTTCTTCCAGAGAAGTCACCAATATCTTTTGGGGATGTCTCTCTGCTTATGCTTATTAAAGAGGCCAAAGACTCTGTCCTTTCACTGAGAGATGAACGAGAGCAGTATGCAGCCTTGGCCAGGTATATGATGAATTGTGTTGTTAAATATGGAATATCAATTATGCCATTGATAATAGAAATGAGGTGTTTTTTTTAAATGCCAAAGTCTTGGAAACAAACTAAAACCAAAAAAGTATATTAATATATCATAGATAGCTTCTCGTAGATCCAAATGACATAACACTAACACTTTCAGTTTGGACTGTCTCAACACCTTTATGAGTTTTTGCGGTTTCTGTCAGGTTGGTGAGTGAGGCCATGGGTGGAGCAGTGCCTCGGGAAAGGCTGCACGAATTAGGCTGGGTGCTGCACCAAAGTGAGCTCAGGTTTCAACTCAAGTCGAATGTTCTTCCCATTGGTATGATAAACAAGGGAACTTACTGCCACAGAGCGTTTCTCTTCAAGGTATGACTTTCTACAGAGTATCAGCAGGTTCTTAACTGTTTTGTTTCTCTCGCTCATCCTCCACTTTCCTGTCACCAAATATTGTCAGTGTTACTTTAACCCTTGTGTTGTCTTGCGGGTCAAAAGTGATCCATTACCATGTTCACCTGTAGAAAAAATACCCAAAACTATATTTTCCGACTTGAAATGTCATGACTTTTCCTAAATTGGCCTCGTCATTAGAAAAAGTGATATTTTTCTAATGACGTGGGCTTTTCACCACTTGGGTACAAGGATTGCCTTATGGATGATTTCTGACTAGGATTAGTATAACTAATTGCATGGCAACTCTGGAAAAAGAACTGTTTGTGATTGTGAAAAAATTGGGATTAGGTACGGTACTTTGCAATAGGACAACATCTCTAAACATACAGCTAAAGAGCTACCGTGAAATGGTCTGGACAAAAGTGTGTTAATGTGTTGTTGTAGCCCCATCAAAGATCTAAATCTGATAGGAAATCTGTGGCAAAGCATGAAAGTTGAAGTTCACACATGATCTCCATCCAGTCTGATTTATGTTGAGTGTGTTAGCAGAGACTAAGGTTTTCTTCAAACCTGGAAAAAGACTTGCGTCTGCTAACTTCAAAAAATGGTGCTTCTGTAAAAATTGTTTTGAAAGACCATGTCTCATTTTCTTGTCGAGATCATCAATATGACTATTTCGCAATGCGGCCTAAAATAAAATAAAGTTTGTAGTTCAGATGACTAATGTGCAATAGGTTGTATAAACTTGGTAGTGATCTGTATTTACGTCCCACTCTGTCTCCTCTTAATCTTTCCAGTGTCTTGCAGATACCATCGGAAAGAGATGCAGTCTTGTTCGTGGTGATTACAATCGAGCCTGGAATGAAGTTCTAATCTTCAAGGTGGACCGTAAAAATCTAAGGTTTTCGAAGCCACGCTGGTACATCGTGGACCTTATGCATCAGCCTGGAACCTTACTTCCAATTGATTCCCCGGCTGCTCAGCAGTATCAGACTATATAGTTTCATCCTGTTTCACATACTTGTACAAACATTCAATATATATTAACCAAATAAGAGAACCCTGTCCTAAGAATAAGCTACAAGTTACCTCTTCTGTGTTATTTTTTGTTTGGCTTTGCATGAATTAGCCAAACTGATGTTTGTTTTAATCAGATCAGACGTTCTTTTATTCTGACATGCAGATTCAGGATGTAGAAATAAATCCAGATCACCTCCTGAGTGTTTGTTCATTGAAAATGCATCCTGAATTGTGGTCTTACCTCAACGTTTATTAATGCGTGAACCTCCTTCCCACTTAAGCGTTTTCTTATCAGAAAGCAGCAGCTCACTGACGACAGATCCTTTTTTTTTTTTTGCACAATCTCTTGCAATAAATGCGGGTAAAGTGAATCCAGATTGGCCCATTCAGGTGAAGGTTTGAATTTTGACCTGGTAGACCAGCGTAAACTCGCTGCACCATGAAAGATTCCGCTCTGTTTCACTGATAATCCGCGCTGCACTTGACTCCGGACCGACACACACTCGACATCGCCGGAGGAAACATGTCGCGTTTTGTCGCTCGCCTCCTCTTTGCGGTTTCTCAGCAACATGCGGCAGTCAGATCTGCGGTGACACCGCGGAGAATCCCTGTGTTCATCCGCTGTTTCTCCACATCTCCAGGTAATATAGAGCAGAGTTAATTTGTCCTGCATTAGTTTGCTCTTTGTCCCGACCTTTGACTGCTCTCCCTCTGCAGGTCTTATACAGGATATTGGGGCTTTTCATGTTTATTGCAGGCTTTAAATGTTTTTTTTTAATTGAAGTGCAATGTAATAAAAGGGACTGTATGATCCAACTTGTGATAAAGTTAATTTGTGCAAATGCTTTTAAAAGTAACGTAAAATTCCACCCTGACATCATCATAAGTATTAATTTTGCTGAAAATCATACAGTAAACCTTTTCCTTTGATACGTTTCCAAATAAGGTCATGAATTTCACTTGTGTAAAATGAACAAGAACGTCATAATTCATACTTGATCTTATATTTAGATAGGCTACATAAAGACTGCTTCTCTGTGCAGGCCTCAAGTCTCTCACACGTTACAACAAGACTACAGACTGGCAAAAGAAACTGACACCAGAGCAGTATTTTGTCACAAGAGAGAAAGGAACGGAAGAGGTGAGTCAAAGAAAAAAATAGTGAATTTACCCAACATGTAGATAGAAAAGAACCAAGCAAATCTGTGCAATTGGAACATGATCTATGAATCGGGCACTGACTTCATGCAATCTCATGAAAAACAAGACATGGACTTTGCTCACTACTGTAACGATGACCTGTTTTAGTTTCAGTCCAACTACTTCCTCTATGTTATGATTTACACATGGGGTTCTCAAGTCATCTTAACAAATTCCAGGCTTTAGAACTGCAGTGTCAAACATTTTAACTCAATATGACAGAATTGGTTTAGTATGTTGTTTTATATTATATCAACAGAACAAAAGAAAGAAATAAAACTTCTTATGTATTGGCTCTGCTTTCAGTTTTCATTCATTCAAGTTTGGACATCTGAAAAAATATCAGTGCACTGCACACTAGTGTTGAAGATGTGTAATGTGCATTGTTTTGCAATTTGCACATTCTTTACAAAAAGACAGCTTTGCTGCAGAGAAAGAAACCCAATCAGTAAGATCATCAGCAGTAGCAGGTGAAGTGCTGCACTACTTCTACATATGATGTTAGACCAACTACAAAGCTCAGTGTGTTTATAAGCTTGACATTGCGGTTCATTAGTTTGAATTTATCCTGTAAATAAACCTCCTAAAGACTCTTACTTTTGGAGTATCACATGATAAAATTATTTGTGTGTGTGTGTGTGTGCATGTGTGTGTGTTTAGCCATTTAGTGGAATCTACTTGAACCATTTTGAAATGGGAATGTACCACTGTGTTTGCTGTGATGTTCCACTCTTCAGGTAAGCATTTAAACAATCTACATCTGCGAAAAGGTGCCTATTAAATGTGTATTTCTTATGATTTTCTTCTTGTTTTTGTAGTTCAGAGGCTAAGTATGACTCTGGGACAGGCTGGCCAGCATTCAAAGAGGCTCATGGGACATGGGAGCGAGACGAGAGCCATGCCTCCATTGTCCGTCGCCCTGACAGCAGCCTGGGCAGTGCTGGGACAGAGATCCTCTGTAAAAATGTGAGTTATTTTCTAATATATCTGAAAGCTTAGCATGCTTAGCGCCGCTTAGTCATACAATATCTTTATATATATATATTGACGAATGCATATTTGTCATACAGTGTGATGCCCACCTTGGCCATGCGTTTGAAGACGGACCAGACCCGACGGGACAACGGTTCTGTATAAACAGCGCAGCCCTCAAATTCAAGCCCAGAGAAAATGGTGTAGCTGACACAGAAGAGCAGAAGTGATGGACTTGCTTCAGTTTTGATTGTAGCATTTACAAGTGGGCTACTTTCTTCACCAGAATTGAATCACTTGATAAAGTAAAAAAAAAAAAAAAAAAAAAAAAACATGCACTATGAACCCTTTGAGTCATTATAAGTGTGTTTTTACTAATGTCTGTTGAGTGCATGAAGTTTATTTTAAACTGTAATCTGAAGTACTTATTTTTTGTCATTTATGTACTTATTAAAATATTATTGCCATAAAAATGTATCTCAGTTACATTGTTATGTTGAACGTTTTCTTTCCTAAAATACCTCGTATGTTTTAAAAAGTTGTTGCTGCCCCCTGTTGTTAGAAAAACCCACTCAGAAATGGCCTCATCTATACCAGTAAGCCAAATTAATGTTTAACTGGATGGGTTATCCTCATTTGCACAATGTTTGTTCCCCTCCTGTGTCTATATCTTCTTAGAGTTTGAGTGAAACAGATAAAGGATAGCAGAGACAGGTGCAAAAGGAGTTCAGCACAAAGATAAGAAGAGAATTGTATAAACTAAGAAAATTAGGACGAAGAGTAGCACACTGATCTGACAAGAAAATAGAGTCTTAAAGTCGTGATTGTCAGTGACACGATGAGCGGAGGATGTAGATGTCTACTTGCAGCAATGGTGCTTTTGTGCCTTTGTTTCTTGGTCCCCACTGAGGCTGTGGGAGGAGCCAAGAGTCGACCAAAACCTCAAAGACGACCACCGAAGAAACCAAAGGTCGAGCCCATTGACTCAACCCCACCAACTCAGAATATAGACATCCAGCAGGTGAGAGACTGGGAGTAAAATTCAAAGTACAGTCCAAGCTTATCCATGTTAACAAACTGCGACTTCATGGAAATGTATAGACTTTTGTCAGACATTGTGCTAAAATTACTAGATTTTTTTTTAGAAAAATATATGTCCATATATTGTTTACGATAATGTTATCAGATGTACAAGTTATCTGTACCATAAGTTTGTAATTGTGTAATTTTATTTGGATAGTTATTTCATTCTAATTAGGCCTTACATACTGATCACAACCATTGACAAACAACTTTTCAGGCTTTGCTCTTTGCACACTGATAGTGATTCTCCTTCAGCCTTGTTTTCAGTTCTTTTGCAACAACGCTACATGGGTAGTCACAAAAAAGAAGATAAAATAGGTGAAGATCATCAGAAATCACTGGTTTTTGCTTCCTCAAAAAGACTACTATAAAAACATTTTGTTTGTAAGATGTTCTGTGGAGTTTTGTTAAAAATGGTAAAACATCTTAAGAAGAATTAGGGAATGTGTAATACTTTTTAAATACTTCTTCTCCAAATAAACAATTTTAGCTTCACTCATACTTCTGATATGTTTTAGCTTTTCCAAAGATTATTCTCGGTGTTGTCTTATGGTTGTGAAACTCTTATCAGCACTGTTGACGCAAGAGAGGGACTTTTCAGGTTAATCGAGGCTGAGTTTGGATAAAGAAGGAAGAACACATTTGAAACAGATGTGTGCTTTTGTTTGTATTGGACACTTTCTGCTGGCTGCAGACTACCAGAAATTAAATTGGGCTACTCGATTACAAAAACAAAAGAAACTTTACTTTTAGTTCCAAAAAATAACATAACACTTGGTTTTTATAGTTTCAGTCGATGTAATGGTGTTCTACAGAAGTATTGATGGATGTATGGTGTTCCTCAAATATGTGCTATTGGCCCACTTGTCTTCTACCTTAACACCAGCAGCTACTACAAAGGTCAAGCTTGTCAATTACAAAATAAATATTCCTCCTGAAGTGGTCTCCAAGAATAACACTGTGCTTGTGGAGTGTGCAACTTTTATGTTTTCTGTCTCTGTGTAACGCAACATTTGTGTCACAGATGACAGGGAAATGGTATCTCCTTAATACGGCCTCCAAGTGTTCTTACCTGATAAAACATGGAACCAAGGTGGAGCCAACTGTCATGACCCTTACAGGTCCCTCTGACCAAACTCTGTCAGTTAGCACTAAAACAAGACAGTAAGTATGCACAATTACTTACAGTTCACATATATCCTTAGAATTTGTCTGAGCAAGGACATTTCTGACAATGGAATTGGCTTGTGTGCCCAAAAAAACAAAACGGGGAGATTAGGGATAATAAAATCCTTGAGCTTTCCTTCAGCATTTTTAAAAATTTTGATGAAACTGACTCAGCAATAAAGTGAAAAATGTGTTTGCGTGTAATACTTTATTTTGATGTCAAGGCAGTAAAGCAGAAGAATGGAGTTGTATGTAATATCTGTCACATAATGTAGCAATAAAAATTAAGCACACAATCTCCTCTTTTTTTTTTTTTTCCATTTTTTCTTCTCAGCAATCATCAATGTTGGGAGATATTGCAGGAATACCATTTAACTTCAACCCCAGGGAAGCTAACACTTAAAGGTCACTTCTTCTCTCCCAGGTTTTCCATAACATGTAGCAGCTTTATGAGCGCTGATTATTGTTCTTCTCACCAGGAACACGTCCTGAACTCAACACCGACATCGTGATTGGAGACACAGACTACACCAACTATGCCGTTTTGTACTATCAGAAACTCGGGAAGGTCACAGTAAAACTCTATAGTAGGTCCAGCATCTGTGTATTTCTGACTGATTTATGTAACACAGGAAAGATGTACTTGTAAGTGCTTGTTAATGTCTTACAGGTAGGTCTGTGGATGACTTATCTGAGCCAACGTTGACTAAGTTTGAGCAGCTCGCTGAAAAACATGGCATGGGTCTTGCCTACCTTTTCCCCTTCCCCACCTACAGTAAGTACATCTACCAATGAAAATACAGCAGGTTTTAATGGAAAACTAAAGTGCTGTATGCATGTTAAAGCAGCACTTAATTATGCAAATTAGGACAAAATGTTGATGTGTACAATATTTTATGTCTTACGAATGTCAAAACCTTTTCTTATTTGTAAGGTCACTGTGGTGAAGTGGAGCAGAACCACAAAATAAGTAAGATCTATTTATTTCAGTTATATTTTAGTCACAGTTAGACACAAGTTGCTCAATGAATAAGAAGAAGTAGCAATATTTACTAAAACATCATTATTTATGTGCCATGGAGTCATTAAGGTTGAGTGGTGGAGATAACACAATGATAAAAAATGTAGTGAGGATATTATAGGATAATCACAATCAATATCATCATCACAATGCACAGCAATGATGATGAAATGACACATTTTCCTAAAATTTCAGTCATTGTGATCAGCTATTCCAAAGCACACACAACATTTCAAATTAAGCGTTCCCATTTTTCATTATAACCAGTTCAATTAATTAGCAATTTCATGTTGATGAAGCCTGAGCATGTTTTCTGATGTTTTTAATAATTCCACTTATCATAAAGTAATATATTTCTGCAGGAAATGTATTAAACATAGTTTGAAGTCACCTCCTTTGACTTTGTGAAAATCTGAAAAATGATTACTTAAACCTATCAGAGTCTTACAGGCCTTGACTTGACATTGTCTTTTCCTGTTTTCTACTTTTACATAACTGCAAGGCTGCAAGTCACTGCATGAGTGACTGAAGGAACGACTGTTTTGTAACTTCCAGTACTGCTTAATCAATATCAGTTATTCATAATTTTAGACTTTGTAGAAACACTGCATGCTTAGAAACATATTCTTTTGCCCCAAAGATAAAATCCTTCAATGGTTAATTGAATTTACAAAGTTTTACAAAGGTTTCAGTATTTTCTGTTATATAAAGCTATTATATAAACTTGCTTAAATTAAAGATCATATTAAGCTCATTTCTGAGATCATTTAATCTCTGTTTCTACTTATCACCTGGACACAGAGACAGAAATTTGACTAAAACCTTAAGGTCTTAGCCTGCAGGTTGCTCCTGCAGACTGTGCACATGCTCTGCAACACTTATGAAACGTTGTGGAGAACAAGTTACCCAAGATCCTTTTCCTGTTAAGGGGGGATCCGTGTATGGAATGTAATTTCATGTGTCACTTCTTGTTTTATAGACTGTGTCCCCACATGCTGAAGAGGCGGCGCTCCGACATCCACCCAAGAAAATCGATTGAACTGAACTTATGAATTCCCTTTACATGCAATAATTTTCTCCTAATTAAAAGCAAAATGAGATGAAGTCAACCGACTGTTTTCAGTTTTGTCAAATATACATCTCCACCTTTCTGTACTTTTGTACATCATTTGTTTAGTCGTGGTTTCATCAACCTTCAAGGTCTGTGATTTTATGCAAGCTTCTTGGCGTGTTAGCGAGAAACGAGGGATAATAAGGGCCAGGTTGGAATCCCCTAAGGGGATCAGAGGGTTTGGTTTCAATTTGTGGTCCAAAATTTTCTTACCCATTCTCCTCCCTCCCTCCTCCTCCCTGTTTACGTGTGTCAGAGGGTTACATAACCAGCTGATTGTAAGTTGTTGCCTCCTTACAAAAGGGGGTCTGATTCAGCAAATTTCAGCGATTGAAGCCTTCACAGCTAGTCTGCATTTAATGCATAACTGCAGGAAAATAAAGAAATGTCGCTGGTTTAGCTGCTTTTGTCTTTAAATGAACATCCATTCCATTCAGAATATGACTTGGAGTGTAATTTGAAAAAAATAACTCTTGAAGTAAGATAAATGATTGCAAATATGTCTAACCACTTCATGAAATGCTTCAAAAGTTCTTTTTATAAATATAAAAGCAAAACAATGATGCTTCCACTGTGGAACCTACTGGGCACTGCTTCACTTTGTTCAGTTTGATCCCAGTAACTGGCACCCAGAGCTGACCTCGAAGCAGAAACTTTGCGGCTCTGATCTGTTGTTTTTTTTTTTTTGGCTTTTGTGCTCTTACCAAACAGAAGCTATGATAGGTCAGGCATCCTTCAGTACCTCTAACAAAAAAATAAAAAGCATTCCTTGCCTCCCCCCAATTCCTCCGTCCACGTGCCAGTTGTGTAACGGCTGAAATTTGCATACTTTGGAAAAGATCCAGATAGTGTTTTTTTTTTTTTTTCCAAGCCAAGGGGCAGAAGGAAGAGAGCTGGGGGGAGGAGACATGAGGGGAGGTAGGATGCTGCAGCAGGATATAAAAAGACTCACAAGGCTGATTTTCAGTATCCCAGACGCTCCTGACCCTTTGCCTGCGAGAGACGCTCTGAGCTCGAGGAACCATGACGACCACATTGCTGAGAACGCTGACCGCCCTCACCTGCGTGCTGGCTGCATGCGCCGACATCATGCCTGTACCAGACTTCAGCCTGGAGAAGGTGAGAAAAAAGGACTTATAACCTCATAAAAAAAATTTAAACATGTAAATGTTACAACTGTACAAAGAGAGATTAAAGAAAATGCTTCTTCTCAGGCATAAATACAAAAACGAGCACATTTGAAAACACTTACTGTAGCTTGCTAGAAAAAAAATCACCTCTTTCTGTGCTTTTTTTTTAGGTTGCAGGAAAGTGGTACATGAGTGGCTTTGCAACCAATGCTCAGTGGTTTGTGAATCGTAAAGCCACAATGAAGATGGGTACTGCCATGATGGTTCCCACTGATATAGGAGACCTGGATCTCTCTTATGCCACACTGAAGTAAGTAAATAATGCATAGTTTTAGATAGAATGTCAAAATCTTGTTTGTTTTGGAAGATAACCTTATGGTTCTCTGAGTAGTGCTGATGAGAGTTGCTGGAGGATGACTCACCTGGCGAAGAAAACAGACACTCCTGGACGCTTCACCTTCCACAGCCAGGGTGAGTGGAGACCACACAAACAAATGAAGGGCATCTTCACGGCAATCTAACGCTCCCATCTTTTCTGCTCTTCCCAGCCTGGAACAACGACAATGACATGCGCTTTGTTGACGTTGTGTACGACAACTATGCTGTGATCCACACCATCAAGACGAAAGAGGGAGTTTCAGAGGTTCTTAACAAGCTCTACAGTAGGTTTTTATCACCAACAAGGACTAGGCCTGCTAAAAAGTTTTAAATAAGGATTGTATTGAGATTAAATAAAACTGTTGTATTTGTAGGCCGCAGTCCTGAGATCAGTGCTGACCTGCAGCAGAAGTTCATTCAGTTCTCACTGGACACTGGCATCCTTGCTGAAAACATTGTTATTTTCCCACCGAACGGTATGTTATCACCTCAAAACTCATCATCTGTCACCAAATGTACACTAAAACTGATTCAGTGAGTGCGTTTGTGCTTTTTTTGTTCACTGATGTGTTCATATGTATTATTACAGGTGAGTGCCCTGAGGCCTCAGTCGCCCCCGTCACAATTTAAAAGGTCCATCTTCATCTCCTCATCTCCGAAGTTCAGGGTTTTCATCTCAAAGGCACCCCCACCCAACTGTGTCACCTGCTGCGTCACTAAGCTGCACCTCAGACTATAAATGTAGAGCTTTTGATTCTATCACTGCATGCCAAAGAGGAGCTGATCCTAGCTCAGTTGGTATTCATTTTCTGTTGTAAATTTAGAGTGGAACAATAAAGTATTCACAGTGGCTTACACGTCAGAATCTAGACCAATGAAGATTGTTTTGTATTTTCTTTCCTTTTTTCTATTTTTTTAAAAAAAATAAACATTAGTTCAAAGCCAATAAAATCATTAAAACAACTTTTTTTTCAGATTGTAGAGTATTTTTTTGTGTCTAAATACACATTAAAATCTGAAAACAAATTCACCCCATAGTGTTTCATGCTGTTTTTTTTGTCTGATTTTATAATATATGCAATTTGTAAACATCACTGTGTAGAAGTAATTAGATTTACTAAAGTGCTTATATACAACCTAATTATATATATAATAACAAATGAAACAAAGCTGAGTATAAAGCTGAGATAGTCAGTCAGCTATGTCCTGTTATACAAGCAGCAAGAGGAATTACAGCAAGTTGGTTCAAGTCACACAAAGCACAGGGCTCTATTTATCAGACTTGTTGGTGACAGCAGGATCATAATTAAAAAAAAACTAAATAATAAATAAAAAAATAATTAAAAAAACTAAATAAATGTTGAAGCAAAAATAAATACTATATATATAACTATATATATATATACATAAATATATATACAGTATATATATATATATATATATATATATATATATATATATATATATATAACTATATATATCCATATATATATAGTTATATATATATATATATATAAGATATATATTATATATATATATATATATATATAATATATATATATATTATATATAAGATCCTGTGGGACTTCCAGATCCAGACAGACAAAATGGTAATGGCGAACCAACCAGACATTGTCGTAGTGGATAAACATCAGAGAAAGCCGTTGTGGTAGATGTAGCAATACCAAGTGATTGCAACATCAGGAAAAAGGAGCACGAGAAACTGGAGAAATACCAGGGCCTCAGGGAAGAACTGGAGAGGGCCTGGAAGGTGAAGACCACAGTGGTGCCTGTGGTCATCGGGGCCCTCGGGGCAGTAACCCCCAACTGGAGCAGTGGCTACAACAGATCCCAGGAACAACATCAGACATCTCAGTCCAGAAATGTGCAGTCCTTGGCACAGCCAACATACTGCGCAGGACCCTCAAGCTCCCAGGCCTCTGGTAGAGGACCCGAGCTCAGAGGATAAGAACCACCCGCGGTGGGTGAGAAGGGAATTATTTTTATTTATATATATATATATATATTATATATATATATATATATATATATATATATATATATATATATATATATATATATACATTTGAAATGGGGAAGTTATATCTTTTAATAGGTAGGAGAGCAGTAAACTAAAAACCAAACACAAAAATAATCTGTTGATTTCCTTGTTTGAGCTCTTCTGAAAGACAAAGGTAATTTCTTTACCTGACCAAAATTTAGAAAATCTGTAACGGCAATTCAAGAAGCAATTCAAGAAGAATCTCTGTTCATTGTTGGTGAACACTTGTAAAAAACACTGAATATACCACCAGCAATAAAATAACATTATTTTATTAAAGTATTCATTTTGTCCACAGCCTCTCTCTATATTTGGCTTCTCTGCAACTGAAACTTGACTCTTAGTGGTTGCAAAGTTTGCTTATACTCTAAGCCAGCTCTACTGAAATAGTTACTGAACCCCTCTACTTCAATAGTTTTATACATTTTCGGTCTTCTCTTGCCTTGTAAAACAAATTACACGTAATATTTTGGTCTGCAGACCGTCACTTCTTTTTATGAAGAAACATGCCATATTGTGTGGCATTTATTTAAATAAATTTTCTTAAAAAATTTATTTAATTTTGCAGCATTAATCCAAAAAATTTAAACGGATTTACTGATTTTTTCATAGCACTGTGTAACTGCAGCTAGAAAGCGTGCCCACAAGGTGGCAGCCAAGAATTTTTCAGAAAAATCCTCACTCTAGGCAATACTTTCCATCTGAAAACAAAAGAAAACCAGGCTCATGCACATGCGAGAGAGGAAAATAATTAGTGTTCAATAATGCAGTAATCTGGGCAGTGGTTTACATTTATTGTATTTGTAAATGTAGCTAAAAACTGTCGAGATGAGATTCTGTGTAGGTGTACAAAGATCTTACTGACTGACAGCTGTTTCCTCAAGCTCCATATTTTCATACCTGTACATGCTCTGATTTTAAAGCAACCACCCACACATTTCTGTAAAATGTTTGAAGTCATATTTGATAAAAATCTGAAGATGGCATGTTGATTTCAGAGCGAGACAATCGGAGCAAACACACAACCAACTAAACTCTTAAAGAGACTATCTCTGTAAGAGACTATTTCTGAATTTAATCTTAAATTCTTAATAAAACCACAGCATCATACTCTACTCTGAAACATAAGCAACACATCATCCAGGGGTGGATAGCAGCGAGATCAAAGCTTTAAATAGACAGTGATGCGTTGAAAAAAAGGTTTTATTGATCAAACACTCTTTATAGTACTCAACAGAACTGAAAGCTGAAACAAATGCATTATGGTTTAGTCTGTCAGCACTGATCATCATCGATGTCATGGTTAAACCACAAGAAGAGGGTGTGCGTGCATGTTTATTTGGACTCTGAGTAATATAATTAGAAAAAGGAAAAGAGAGACAGAGACGATATGTGAGAAGGATGTGATGTTGAAATGGGGAAAGGTTTGCTTTGAGGCCTCAGACGAAGGCGAGCTGAGCTTCACAGCTGCCAATACGTCTCCGATGAAGTGATCTGCGGTTAGCGTACAACCCTGAGGCGATGGTGATGGGCCGGTATAAAATCATTCACGTGAGTGGGAGCTCTTTAACCAAACAGAAAAAAACCCAATAAAAACAAATTGAACTAAAAACTAAAAACACGGTTGGCAGCTTGTTTCAGTTGAAACACATGTAACAGGTAAACATCGCTGACAGGACAAAAGAAGCAAAGTTAGAAACAGAACTTTGTTTTGTGTGCGTCTCAGAGGATAGGAGTGGTAGTTTGTAGGCAGCACATCCATGCAGTTGCTCCGTATATATAATTCTGCACAGCTTTTCCTATAGCACATAAAAAAAGTTAAGCACACAGATGAAATGGATCAATTTGTATGCCAGTGATCACCATGTACTGGATTCAGTTTGCAAATTTGTGGCAAACTGAACAGCCACCAGATGGCATTACTGCTTCTGAGGCAGCACAATGTTAGTCTTTCTGCCCACTGCCAAAATAATACAGTCTGCAACTCTGGTCTAATTTACCACAGGACATAATACAAAGGCAGTATGCAGTAGCTGTTTCTGATCTGTCTTTGCCCAGGGGAATTACTGTGTCCGGGGGCAGAAGAGGTGTTTAAAGAAAGTAAATTAAAGGTTCTACTCCAATCAAGTTTTCAATTGCCAATTCGAATATGCAGCAGTACTAACTGGAAAGAGGTTAATGCAATCCTGATTCATTTTGTGATACATTTCACATCTAAACCATCCTGAGTTGAGACAAACAAAAATATTTAGATTTAAATCTGGACTGACTTGATTCTACACGTATAATTCTTTACAACAAACTTCGAGAAATGTATTTTTTTTCAAAGTGCATAAAGAGACTCTTGCTCAGGGAGGCATTCAAGCAAGAATAGCCACCAGGCATGTGACTCTGATCCGGAGTGAACTGCTGCTTGTATCCAGGCTGACAGCATAAGACTACCAACGCCTTTCCCATTTGATATTATATAGTCATCAGTTCACAACCTGCTTCATTTCATCTCCATCACTTCTGATTTGAGTGCTTAACTTTCTTATTGTCACTGACATACTTGAGCTGAGAAAAACTGGCTAGAGTTTGTATTTTGTGCGAAACTGAACAGCACCATCTTACAAAGGAAGCAAAAGAAAACCTGAATAGATTTTACGCAGCATCAGTCAAGCTTTTGTTATGGGTCTAAGTTAAGTAATCGAAGAAAAGGCGATATGGCTCAATACCTCAAAGGCACAGCAGATTCATAAGCCAATTACCATCCTAACTTCATCCCTGGTGGTGTTCGGAGTTTTTATTTTAAATTCATGCTGCTTTAGGCTCCTTTAATGCTCGAAGCTAAGTGCATAAAGAAAAAAAACTGAGGCTGCCTCCTCTGGCACTTGGTTTAGCATTTGACCTACACACTGATACATGCATACGTTAGAAATGGTTCATTTAACATAAAAAGAATGCAAAGAAAACGTTCAAAGCCAAATAATATTCGCAAACTTTGGAAATAAGACTGAAGTGTTTGGCAAAGAAACAAACTGACCGCTCACGTCCGAATGACTAAAGGCTCTTGGTTTCACTCAAACTCAAAGAAAGCTGCCATGATGATGAGCTAAACCAACGGTGGAAAATCATGATTTGCCATCGTGCTCTGAGAAACCCTTCTCTGCGCCACCGCAGGAGGGAGCGTCCCGTACAATCGAAAGTCTTGAGACCTAAACATAAAACTCTGTATTTTACACATATATAATATAATGAACAGATATATTACTGTAATATAGATATGACATTTCTCATTGGCATTTGGACTCTAAATAAATCTTTTTAGGAAAACTGACACAAAATATATTTACAAAGAGACTTTTGGCATTGATGATAAACTCTATGTTACCAGCTAACAGGATGTGCTCCACTGGACGAATGTGAGTGTTGACAGACTGGTGTGAATACAACTTGAAAAACAGGACAAAAAGAAAAAAAAAAAGATTTAAAAAGATTGTTTGGCATGTTGATTTGATCATTTCTTATATAAGATTTCTGTTTAAATATAAAATCAAAACCAAACAAGGACTGGCAATAAATCTTTGCTATTACACCACCCAGTAAGTGTAATTATTTGTCATACACAGTATTCAAAGGACTCCTGAAAACTCCCAAGCACGATACAAAGAAGGATAAGCTGGTTAGTATATACATGTATAGTCTTTTACAGCTGCACTCCTCAGGATAAGAGTCCAGCTTTTGTTTTTCTATTACTCTGGATATAAAAAAAGGAACAGGAATTTTCCCACAACCCTCATCTTCACAGGGAGTTTGTTGTCCTTTTGAACAGTCACTCCTCTTTATCGCCAGTGATCGTTCACTTGATTAATCCTCCTCCATCTTGGAGCATCGGTGGTCTCGCATTTTGCCTGCTCTGTCTGAGTCCCATCGTCTGCCAGTTAAATGAACCACTCCTTCTTTGATTCGTCGATAGTTTCTGGGTT